ATCATAAATGCTATGGCACGCAACAAAATTACAAAACAGGCAAAAATGCAACCATTAGTCAGGTTAGATCTACATGTGTATGATTACTAGTAGTAGTTGCAGAAACAGCAGCAGCTAATGAACAAAATAAAACTTACTTGGTTTGGTCTTTGGTTTACTGGCTTCTCTGCTGCGGGAGTTCTGTTCCTCCAGAGCCTGAGCCTCTGCCTGCATGTCAGCCATCTGAGCCAGAACTGCTGGGTCATTGCCACCACTCTGCAAGTAGGCCTGCCGCATAGCTCTGCAAAACAGACACTTTTTACTATGATAATGAACTCTACAGGCCTGTTATGTATCAAATATTGTTCTTAAAAATATTTTACAAAATTAGATATGACTCTGCATAATTTTGAATAAGAAAAAACATCAAATTTCAACGAATTACAGTTGACAGTAAGTAACAATAAAAAACAAGGGAATTAACATTGGTTAATGCCCTGTATATTATCATGACAGCAACAGGGAATTTGGATACTTTACCCACTCTCACGTACCCAATTTCTGCCATCAAAGAATTTCCATAATAAGGAATGTTGACAGGTTGGAACTTGTTACCTTGGCCCCGGGGACTGTACCTACAGCAGGTGGAACACATTTAGAATGAGGGAAAGCTATGAGAAACATTAAGATATATGTATTAAGCAAAGTAATCTCAAAAATGGCACCACTAAAGATCATCACTGTGAAAAATTTGCATACAACATACATACCAAAGCTTAAAAATTATTTGCAAAGAACTAAATATTATTTTTATGAAAGGTAATTGCACTAAACAATTATAAGACAATAATTATTATAAGACAACAATAAGACATGCTGTCACAAGGCTGGCATTAGCAGGTAGGAAACAGAACACTTGGAATGCTGAACAGGAATCAAAATATAAAATATAAAAATCAAACAATGTAATCAAACAAAAAGCAAATAACATGATAGAGGGGAACTTATTGATTCTGACAGACAAACAACAAACAAGACAAAATCATGCACAACCACAAAATGCAAACAGCAGGTTGTCAGTGAAAGCAAGAAGTTGAGAATGTATGCCCAGTGTACCATGCCATGGCTTCTGTGTTTTCTCTCTCTGTCTGTAACCTGTTCTCAATGGATTCTAGCCACAGCCTCAGCATGCTGGGCACCTGGGATCTGCTAGCATTGACACTGGCCTGTCTTTCCACAGTGACTGGTGGCGCCATTTGTGTGGCACCATGGCCATTAGCACTACCATGTACAGGATAATACTGTTGAAATAAAGAGTTCTTTTGTTGTTCCTCAGGTTGGTAATTTACTTGGAGCTGTTGAAGATAATGTTGGGACTGTTGCTGGGACTCCAGAAACCTCTGCTGGGAATCTGGATCCAGGTGATATAAAGATACAGCTCCCTGTGGCACTAAGCTCTTACTGTAGAACTCAGGATCTGCTTCCTCGTTTTCTACAATTTCACTACATTGGGGGAAAAAAAAGCAAGAACACACTAGCTACATGAAGGTTGACTGATAAATGCAGTGGAAGCCTGCTTCCTGTTTGACATCATACAAGCATATTTTGGGCTGGGATCCATGTACTGGCATAGAGGTGCACAAGAAAAGAAAAGCTGTGTTCATTGAACACAAGATCTACAAAAGCATTATGAGAGAGGATCTAATTAGCCACATTAAGCACATTTTACAAACAACATCTCAAATAATTTCTTTTCTGGAATGAAAGCTAGTGACAGATCATCCAAGTTTTTTTTTAATCAATGATAAAAATAAATCAAACCCATACATAATACATACCCAGATTTATGTATTTCACTGAGCTGTCTTTTTAGTTCCTGGAGGGTTTTCTGATTTTTGTCTTCTTGAGCTTTCAGTTCACTTATCAATTTCTGTGTCATGTCAACTTGAGGAGCCTGAGGTCGGATGTTATTCTTCCTGCCCAATTCTTCCAACCTTCGCCTGATGTCTGAAAGAAGTCATGTATTGTATTGACAAATACATAGTATTACTTACTTGTATTGTGTAAATGCTGCATGGGTATTACAGTGAAACTGACACTCACCCGTACACACACTGAAACAGGTAATAAATGTGTTTGAATCCTTACTTTTCTTTTTTTTCCTTATGAATCAAGTTCAGTGTAAATTTTCAAAAAAAAAAATTTATGCCTCTCTAGGACAGCATAAACTTCTTACCTTCTTTCTGTCTCTCTAAGTCACTGTTCCTTGCTTTAATGTCTGCCAGTTGTTTCCCATGATCCTCTGCCAGTAGACGTATCTGGCGCTGATGGGCATCACGCAAGTGGTTCCTAGGGCTCTACAGATATATCCAACTTATTTCAAACTGGGTAAAACACTAAAGGCTTCACCATAGTAGCAAAAAGTAATGAATTTTGAATTTGAAACATGATTTCAAAACAAAACTTCAAATAAAGAATCCAACATATTATTTTCTCACTGTTTCACAATTGAGTAATACCACAGTTCAGTGAGCATGCTTTAAAACAAATATTTGAAAACCCATTCTCATTTGACATTTCTGCACATACATAAATTCAATATTTCTTACCATATGCAAACATAACATAACATACGGTATATCACAAAATTATCACAGTGATCTTGACCAAAATTAAACACAGAAATTTAGGACAATCATACTATACAAGTAGAAATGTGGAAAATTCTCCTAGAGTGAATTACCAGAGATATTTTAATATCAAGAATAATTATGTAACTCTAGAATAGATGATATTTGCGCGTGTGTGTGTGTGTGTGTGTGTGTGTGTGTGTGTGTGTGTGCGCCCATGCACACACAACTGCTTACAATACACACACAAAAAAAAGTCATCCCACAATGCAAATATCAAAGATAAATAACAAGAAGTGGTTCCAAAAAATTTAAATGATGATATTAATTAACTATCTAACAGTTAATGCTACATGCACACTAAACAGAAAATTATCTTAACACCAATATACTAGACCAGTCCTAGTATTATGTCAGACATATAAGTGCCTAGTACTAAGTGACTAAGGGACCGTTCATATGAAAAATCTATTTTCTAAAAATCTATTTTATATTTTTGTGGTATCTTGTGATCACTCCGAGCGCAGCCGAGAATTAATTACAGCTTTGGAAGTAACTGGGTCGCACTGCCAGTAATTACGCCGCGGGGTATTCAGGGCACAGACCGTGATCACAAGATACTATGAATAGAAAATAGATTTTTCATATGAACAGTCCCTGATATTCACACAGATAATGCAAACTGGTGCATTACAAGAACAGTTTTATAAAGAAGCAAGAACATATCCTCTACTGCAGAAGTGATTTGTTAGTAAGCCACCAGGTGTCAGCAGAGTACAACTTACATCATGCAGTGCATAGTTGGAAGGTGTGAAAGATGAACTTTGATTTATAGGGAAATGATTTAATCCCACCTCAAGCTGATTAATGTCTTCTTTTAATTTGTTTTCTTTCTCTCTCAACACTGCATACTGAAAAGAACAAAAGTAAACTCTCAAAAAATTTTCCAACTACAGATCATTAGTCAATAAAAATACAACTCAAATTAAGGTCTTTTTTCATTGAGCATTGTATTTTATACATTCTGTCTATACTTTTCTGTTTTGAGAGCTTAACACCTTAATAGCACAACAAATTAAATAAGAAACACAGCACAGCATTGAATACTACAGCAGTTTCCACTCAATAACAAACGATTCATTGTCTACCATATTTTTACTTTATTAAAGCATGCACGGTAGAACTTCAATCCATACAGTAGGAAACAAAACTGTGAAAGTAATTACATGGTAGGATCTCTCAAAGCTAAATGCTTACAGTAAGGTGTAACTCTTCACATAAATAGGCCTTTTCTGAAATCGTTTGGAAAAAGATTTTTTCCTGAAATTTTTTAAAACAATATTTTATACTTTCCTACCTCCCTCTGCAGATCTCTGAGCTCTGTGGAAGGTTGTAACTGAGATAGTTTTGGAGACAGCTGATGTCTTTCTAGATACTCCAGGTCTCCTAGCAGCATCTTTTCTTCCAGATACTGAGAGGCACGCAACCTGGACCGTCTGTTCTTAAGATCCTGCAGCTCTTGTACCTTTGTTTATAAATGTCTGACATATGTTAATATCACTGACTTTACATATATCTGTTACAGAAACCAATTATAAAATATTTCACGCTTTTATTCTAGGAACACAAAAATTTTAAAGCTCCCACACTTTTTAGCTTTAAACATTGGAAAATCTTTTTAAATGTCTTCTCAAAGCAACATAAGCAAGACTTAAAATACAGTATATATGCTATGAAGTGAATTTTAGACCCCATTCCCATTAGCACCATCAGTCTAAGTCTAGATCTACCCAACTCCTGGAGGACTCTTGCTGAATGTATTTAAATTTATCAATGACAGGCCTCCTCTTGTTTCCAATGTACTCTATATAATCACCAGCTTTTCTGTATTCTACTCAGTTTAATGAGGAGGCATGTCAATCAGTTAAGGTGATTGCACTCAGTGATATTCCTTGCAGAGTTGGATCGATCTACGTAGATGAGATGGGGATGGGAATGGGGCCTTAAATAAGCTGTAAAACTGCAATTCTAAAATAATCCTTCTTTGATGTGCGGTAAAGAATAAGATGTTAATACCCAAACAGAAAAATATTACAGATAAAATAAATACCCAGAGATATCATTTTACAGAGACTTTATTTAACCTTAACTAAATGGAGAATAATGGAACATGCTCTGACTATTTCACTTCTACTCAAATCTCAATTATAAATATTATGTTTTTTTAATGTCAATTAAAAAAACAATCATTTCACACATAACTCGTTAAACTATACAGACACATTATCAACTCAATGTTAATATGAACTACAATAATAAATTAACTCAATTCAATATCAAAGCAATTAGAAAGCATGCTCACTGACAGGCACACACTAATGTCAGCACAGATCACAAGAGTCAGTATACAAACATCAACACTGGAAGACACAATGTGCAAGCAAAAGGTGTGTTAGAAACATAAAGCAGATAAGATTCCTCAGTGCAGTGTTAACTTGACACACAAAGACTAGATCAAACATTTATCTTTTTCAAAATTGATTTTTAGATTCAACCATTTATCATCTATTTTTAGACATTTTGCGTAATTATATTCAACTATGCATTTGAAAATCCGCCAGATAAGTTAATGTAAATAGCTAGATCAGTATGTCAACAGCTAGGTTAAGCAGGCATTAGATCAGTTATAGACACATCTTACATGGGTCATTAAGTTAAGAAACACCAAACAAAAGAGTAAATTAAAGTGGGTGCGCGCTATGTATTGCTAGGTTAACTTACCTTTTGACTACTTAAAAATCCATCTGACTGGGGCTAAAACAAATCAGAAAAAATATAGAGATGTTCTTCATAAATATGATGTGGGAATTTTTGAAACGATGACTGATGAAACAGACATCAGTACATGTAAGGTGCTTTGATCAAAAATACTAAAGACTATATACTGCATTTACTTTGTATGAAACAAAACATATATATTTCTTTTTCTTGGCTGACATATGTTTGTCTATGTTTGAGGTGTTGATTTACATGTATCATGGCTGTATTTAATTATATGTCAACATCCTATCATATTTTTTTATGTTTCCTTTTTAAAATCTTCATTTTAAATTTCTTTTTAATTATTTATTTTTCTTTTTTTTTCATTCAATCTGAAAGTGCATGCAATTGCTGATTAACTAAATTCTGTGCAGATATACAAGTATAATGCTTATTGCACATTCTTTGTTCATACGAAAGTACGCATGAAAGTGTCACTTGAAAAAAAAATGAATACAATTAAAACAGATTTGATTGTAGAAGAGTATAACTATAGAGACAAAAAAAAAACAACTACTAACATATTCCATCCTTTTTATGAAAAAATTATAGGTAGTTTTTCAAAATATGACTCATTTAATATTTTCAACAATCTTGCAAGCAATTCAGTTGAACACCCAGAGCTGTTGCTATAAACAACTGATTGTAACCATGGTAACAATGTAACCAATAATTTAAGGTAAGCTTTGTTGGCATACATGCGAATTAAAAGCAATCAATAAAAGCAAATCCATGTTTTATCTTGTGTTCAGAGATTGTGACCATTGCCTGACATTTCACTAACACTGGGCACACTTCACTGTGGAAGATTTTAATAGATATAAAAACCATATCAGCAAACTGCCTTCAGTTTACATATCTAAATGCCTGGAATGCAAGCAACACATGCATGTATCAACTATATCAACTTTTGAAATATCAAATTTGTTTTAACTATTAAAAAATTTATTATCGATCTACATGGCAAAATGAAAATACTATCCAACTGAAAGAGTGCTTGTCTCCTGTATGCAAGGTTGTGTGCTTTTATCTGTTCAAACCAAGATCCTATCATAAAATCGGCTCCTAGTGTCTCTACAAAAAGCACTCAGCATATTAACATAAAGGGTGAACCAGGGGGTTAAAACCTGATTATGTCAGACCTGGTTATCAATGATAATGATATGTGTCACAGGTGCTACAGCTCAGTCTCTGCTCTTCAGGGAAGAATTCAGGACAGAACAGATCCATAATGACCAGGGATCATTGACTGTCAGCTCAACTTGTTTATCAAGGCTAACAGACTACAAACCAATCTTTAACCTTTAATCTTAAGTGACATTTTATCTTACTTCTATCTGGAAAAAGGCAACATTCACAGTCTTTGCTGACAGCATGGGTACCTTATCACCAAACTATATCAATGTAAACATCAATTTTGTCCATTAATTGAGAAAAGTCCACATAACAATCTATACTCAAATAGGATTTTATTTTCATCTGAATGTAGACTGCCTAAAAACATCAACTCTGACTCTAGCGGTGGACAAGTGGGCCACCTACAAGACTTGCACACTCCCTGTTCATGCCAGTATGAATTCAAATCAAAAAGATGAATTATTTATATCCTTCATTTTCTTTGGCTAAAATAGCACATATTTAAGGCATGCTACATGCACTAGGACAACAAAACAGTTAAATTATAAATATAAGAACTTACTCGTTCTTCCACATGTTGTTTTGGTCTCTTCTCTTCCTCAGCAGTTCTCATTCTCATCAGTTGCCGAGGATCTCCTATCACTCCACCAACACAGAATTTACTGCGATGTTTGGCCAGGAGAGTTCGAGACTTGAACATCATGTTACATTCACTACACCGTAACACTGGTTCACTTGCCATGTTGCAGCTGAAATGTTTATGACAGGCTTCAAATATACCTTCTACTTTTTGTGACTAGACACCCTTGATATCTTAATAAGCTACTGATGCATCTTGCATATAAAAATCTTCATTTCTTTAAAAGCCACAGCTAAATCATTAGTAGTCTGCAATACAATGTGTTTGATGGGGATTTATGAAAGACATGACATGAAATTCTTAGCAATCTTGTAAATCAGCTTATCAGAATGGAAATCACAGTAACATGTCTAATATTTAATCTATCCCAAATTGCAAAAAAAAAAATCAGAATACAAATTTAATATTTTTGTTATCAAATATTTAATCCAACTCAAACTGCGACAGAAACAATTAGAATACAAATTTAATATTTTGTTAAAGGGTTTTATTTATTCTTTTATAATTTGATAAATATATATTTCCCCTACATGGTATGTAAGTGCTTAATGTATTTTAGATTTTCAATGACAACAAAAGTTTTTATTCTCAATTCACATAAAAGATATTTTTCAAAACTCACCATTCAACAATATCAAAAGATTATTACTTATTACTGATATTAAACAGAGGCTTAGAAAGCCAAAGATCTCTGTTAGCAAAAAGAAAACTTCATGTTTTCCTATTCCTTCCAAAGGTTTTTTGTAAGTTTTTTTTTATCTGCAGACAGTCGGCATTCACGTAATGACCAGCCACAGGTTTCCTCAGACTTGACTTCATTTCTGCGTGCCAAAGTGTTTCGACGTAAGACCTTAAACTGGGT